TCCTAGTAGCTTATTGTTTCTAATAGCTTCTTGTTCCTAGTAGTAAGAATGCTCCTAGCTCCTAGCAGTAAGGCCAGGAGCCCCGTTCGTAGCGTCCGATCGCTCCGTTCGTAGCGATGCCCTTTGTTACTAGTAGCCTCCTGGTTCCTGGAATCCCGAAGGAACATCGTTTGGACATCGGAACATCCATCGTCCGTTCGGAGGACCTGTGTGACCGGGGTGTTTTGATACGGGCGAGCAGGTTTTGATACGCGGCTGCAGCGGCTGCACCGTACGACACCCTGCCTCCAAAACATCCCATGCCACTTTTCCTTGAAATTTCTGAGTGCCCAAACCACAGCAGTGGCAGCTACTTGCAAGTCCTGTGTGAGGCTTACAGGGGAAGAGATAAACTGCTCTCAGGTGCTCGCAGGTGCTTGGATCAGGGCAAGCCTTCTCAAGATCGACTGAAAGAGCTTCGAACCACGTTGGCAAGTTCCCCTGCTGCATGCCCCTTGAACAAGCAACCACAAAACCATACGAAAGCGGCAGTTGAGAAAGCAATCTGAAAACTAAAAATATACGAACAACTTCTGAAAGCAAGTTTCCATGAACTTCGATGACTTCGTGTCCCACTTGAGACGTCCTGGACGGTCGCAATGGCCACCAGGTTGCTGCTCTTGTGGCTGGGGAAAGAGATGTTCCATCCCTGAAAAGCAAGCCAAGCCAGTCGAAGTGATTTCCATCCAGAAAGCATCCATCTGAATTTGATGTTTGGCTTTCAAAAAAGCTCCAGCAGTGCGTCCGACCAGCCAGGTCGACCAGCCAGGTCGAACAACCCATCGCCTGCTGTGGATCGGAGCATTGGTGCCAATCAGTTCCTTGCCATCGTCCATGACGCTTGGCCACCTGGTCTTGTGGCGCCAGTCAGTTGACACAGGTTGACACATTTGAAAATCTGGTGTGGTGTGGCAATTGTTCACAAGAGATGCTTTGTTACAGTTCATGTTTAGTAGCTTTCGTTGATCCATGTTGATCCTAGGAAGTCTTGAACGGTGGGAAGGGGGAAGGAGAAGGACTCGACTCGGCAACATCGAAACTATTCTCTTGCATTGGCTGTTAAGGAGGCTGCAATGAGTTGTCTGGCACTGCTGGCTCTGCTGACCCTGCTGGCCCTACCTGCACTGGCTATTCACCATCCTCTCATCACGGGGGTGCTGACCTCTGTGTGCCTGAGTGTCTGAGTCTGCCACGGCAAAGGTCTCCGAATGGAGGCTGCCAGGGACGAAGGAGGTGAAATTGATCTCAGCAACGTGGTGTGACGGAGTGTGACGGAGTGTGACGGAGTGACCTTCGGGACATGTGCGTGCGTGCAAGGCTTCGTTTGGGACCGGAACAGCGGCACCAGTCGTGGGAGTCTGCTTTAGGATGCTGACATCGGTCTCTGGTAGACGATACTGGCTAGACTGCGCCATCAGAGAGCCATTGGCATGCCTCAGGAGCCAGCGAGCAACCTTCACATCTTCTCTTCCATAAACTCTTCAGCGGAATTGCGAAGGTCTTCCTAAGCTTAGCTCTAAGCCTCTAAGCTTGGCTCTGATTGCAACAATTGAAAGCATATTTTCGTCCGATCCATCTCAGCAGCTCTTTTCGATTTCGCACATCTGCACTTCCCACATCTGGCCACTTCCAGGCCTAATCAGGTACTGATAGAAGACCGCCATGGAGGTCTGCAAATTTGCGTGGTGAGGGGTGTGGCGGATGCCTCTGACATTCCCCTTGTCTATCTCGCTTTTCATCCAAGGACTATCCTGTAGGCACACACACAACTACACAACACACAAAAAAACACAAACCACAAGAAGTCTTCGTACCTCACAGTGTTTCACACCTGTGTCACACCAGCATGTTTCACCATGGGGAAACCGCCGGAAGTGCAAGAGCTGGCGCCGGCTCGCTCGCGTGAGCGCCGGCTCGCACTCCACGCGCCTCCCCGAGGTCATGGTCGGAGGCAGTCGACTGTGCAGCTTGGGCCATCTGGTCGACCTTTGTGATGGTCTCCTGCGACAGGCGGGCTAGGCAGGCTAGTGCTACATGTGGCTTGGATGGGTGAAGCGGAGCCAACAAAAGTCTGAGTAGCCCAAGCTTAGCCCGCGGAAAACGCGGCCAAACGACGGCGCGTTTGCGGGTTTTTCACACAGAGGTGTAACCGGAAAGGTAGGGGGATATAGCGACCGTTCAGGTGAGAGGTGGTCAACATCAACAGACCAAAGAAAGGGATTCGAAAAGTGAGTATATAATCACATCGACTTGGATCTCGTGTCTCTCGTGTGGCAATTGCTTTTGCCATCTTTTGCCACTTCTCCGCAGCGTCTCGACAAATGAACGAGACTGGCCCGGTCTCTTGCCGCAGCTGTTTCAAAGGCAACCTCTTCTGTTGGAAAAAGCGATTGCAAACTCCAAAAGCCTCTGGAGTGGTCGAAACCCAGGCTGCAGCATGATCATGTGTGTATAAAAAGCTTTGGCTGCAAGCTGCACGCCCG